TATATTACACATCACATGATGTATAAATAATAATTTAAAAATTGTTCCACAGGGTACTTTGATGAACAGAATATAGAATATATTCGAATTTATTATTTTAAAAAAGTATACTCTTACTTACAATATTTTTATTACAGTTAAATCTTTTTAGAATTTCCAAAAGTCACTGAGTTTGTTTTGGAGTAGTAAAGTATAGCATAAGTTTTTTTGCACGTTTAACTAAATCTTTTATTTCCAAAAGACCTTTTCCAATAACTAACTAGAGAGTATGTGCTGTACATGGAATATGAATTATGTTTTGCATTAAATCTAATGCTTTAATTATATTACTACCATTATCTGTAGTAATCGAAAAAACCTTATCATTAAGATTCCATTCATCGATAATTGAATTTAATGCTTTAGCAATAATTTCACCAGTATGTGGATACAAAAGATAATCAATAAAAAGTATAGTTTCTTGTAATTTAAAATTAGTATCAACATATGAACAAGTTATACCCAAGTATCCTAATCTATTACATCCAGTCCATAAATCGCAGATTAGTAAACATGATATAACATTCTTTTCAAATATATCTAATAATGATTGCTTGGTATTTTCATATGCTTCAGAAAGTAATTGTTGGCAATATCTTTCGCTTGGAAATTGGTATGAGGGATCAAATTCTGCAATAAAATCCTTAAGACCTTCATCATTTCGAATATTTATTGGTTGTTGATCTTTAATTAAAAGTTCAACAAATCTTTGATCTAAATGACGCTTACGTTCCAGATGATTATAAATTATTTTATCAATTTGAAGTTGCGAAGATAAAAGTTGTTTTATTTTTTTATTATGTGAACTTTCTGTAATACCATGTTGTGTTGCTAAATGCCTAATATAATTTTCCGTTAAACTGTCTACTGATCTCATAAGATGCCCGCATAATTTACTTTTTTTATTTTTATAAACTTCTACTAAACAACTTACAATTGATTTGTAGGGTGATACAGCTTCATAACATTGATAATAAGAC